GTAGTGTGTGTGTGTGTGTGTGTGTGTGTGTGTGTGTGTGTGTGTGTGTGTGTGTGTGTGTGTGTGTGTGTGTGTCAGTATAACAAAGCAAAATATATTAATGTAAACCTACAATGGTAAGATACTGATTTTAGCGTTCTAAATCCGAAGACTTACCGCTGTCCCACGATCAAGACGCATCTTTGCGCAAATTAGCACGAAAAGGAGTAACCTTTCCTTTTAATCTATCCTTTCTTTACGAAATTTATATTTTAGTCAGTAAAACCGAAACTGTTTTTAATGTAGTAGTATTTTTATTTATTTATTTTTATTTTTTTTAAGACGTTAAAGAACAATAATTCCGCTTTGTTTTCGGTCTAAGAGGTATTTGATGTTTGTTCTTACCAAACTAAATTTGATTATTACTAAGCCTTATGTAGTGTCATTCTAGATTGTTCTTAAAAGAAAGCTACTTTTCTTACTTATAGTATTTTGGCACTTGTGTATAAAGTTAAAGTCATAAATAATATTCAACGTCAAACAATTTTATTTAGGCCTATCTATGGCCTTCAAAGTTTACGGCTCTACATGTTTCGACGTTACACTCCTTAGGATGACGTTGTAACGTCGAAACATGTAGAGTCGTCAACTTTGAAGGCCATAGATAGGCCTAAATAAAATTGTGTACCAGTTTAACGTTCAATATTATTTATGATTTCTACATTTCTTACCTTAGTACCTATATAAATATTTGTTTATAAAATATCGCGCAAAACTACTCGAGGGCTATCTGCGCTAGCTAATAGACTAGATGGGAAGCACCACAACCTCTTGGGAATAGCAAAATTGATGATGCCATTCATTATAACGCTTCTAAGCCTGAAAGTGTGAACATGCGTGCTAACAAGATTCGAGCCCGCCACCCTCAGATTGAGAGTCGATCGCCCTAAACATCAAACCAGTAGATAAATGTTCAATATTTTTAAATTTACACCCTCTTAATAACAATATTTGACTCCAGCTAGGCATGCTAGCCATTCTTATTTTGAGACGTTTACATAAACATGTTATGTATACGAAAGATTTAGGAATGAAATATGAAACAACTTTGCGATTTCGAAGTATCTCCGAGTTTAAATATTATCAAATAATACGACGACATATCTCACTTGACCAACAATAAACTGTTGTATTCAAGTTTCTTTTCTACTCGTGTCTACCCAAAGTATTTTCATGCCTATCGAAAGAGTATTCCATATTAATATGTACATTATTTAACACTCACCAACTGGATTGTCTGGATCTTCCCCTGGTTGACCGGCATCCACCCAGTAAGTGTGAGAAATGACATATGGTCCACAGAAATAATTTGAGCCCACTAAATGGTAGCAACCCGTTTCCAGGTTACATCCAGTACTAGCCTGATATAAGAAAGTTTAAATTTCTGTAAAACTTTAATCCCACAAATATTCTGTCATTCTATGCAATATTGTTTCAAAAAGAAATGAAAAAAATTGAAACATGAGTAATACAGCTATACATTTTTTTTTATTTTTTTTTTAATGTTCTTTTCTTACTATAGGTTCATCAACAAGAAGTCAAGATAATGACCAGTGATCATTAATAATTTATTGTAGATAACTGTATGGTATAAAATCAATATACGAGGTCAATGAATAATCCGATATGATATTAACAACACACACATTATAAAAATACATGTAAAACCTTACAAAAGGTCAATAGATAAGAAGCTAAGTCTTTCCAAGAATAACTATCATTTGAATTCCAGTCAGTTCCACCAATTCAGGTTTGAATAAAAGCATTAAACTCAATAGTGCTATATAGTATTGTTATGTCTCCGTTTGTTAATTAATTTTCCGTAACTTCGTTCCGACGAAACTTAAG